TTTTACAAAAATTTAAATTTTTCCATTCATATATGGAACTTGTTCCGTTCTTTTTTTATTTTAGGTTGAAAATATAAATGTAAACGAAGACTGTAGTATACCGGAAAAAGATCAAAGTCGAGCTGGTAAACGTGGTTTAACTGGAATTGTATTTGTGATTAAGATAGCTGGTGCATTAGCGGAAGAAGGATTACCACTTGAAACAGTCTATAAAACTGCACACGATGTTTTGGATAATTTAGCTACAACTTCGGTTGGATTGACCGCATGTGCAATACCAGGTCAATATAGTTTAATATTAAGGAACGCCTGTTGGAATATAATACGTCTATATATATTATAATACGCATAAATTGTTAAAACAATTTATTTTGAATCGAAAAAGATGTTGATTGATGTAATTTGAATCAAATTCAGTTTATATGGGAAAAAAATTTATCGAAGAAAAGAGAATATCACTTTCATTTATCATGTATCAAGATCTCTCTTCAACTAAATTGCAGCCAATAATTCAGTGAATTGCGATAAAAAATATAAATGATACGATGGCAAGGATGATACGATCGCAATCATGCTAAAAATCAAAGAGAGATCGAAAGGAAATGAAACATCAAATCGACGTTCATGTTTTTTTCACGCTATATCTCGAATGGAATTAAAAAGCAAATAAATAAATTGTAAAACTAACGCAAATTATATATTACATGTTACAGGTCAACGTCGAATGTTCGAACTTGCAGAAGATGAGATCGAAGTTGGAATGGGAATTCACGGAGAGGCTGGATATGAAAAAACAAAATTAAAACCATCGTATGAGATAGCTTCATTGATGTTGGATCGCATAAGCAATGCATTATCTTTAAAAAGTGGAGATTCAGTTGCAGTTATTATTAATAATTTTGGAGCATTAAGTCAATTGGAACAAGGGATAGTTGCTCACGATGTGGTCAAAGTACTCCGTAAGAAAAAGATTAAATCTTTGTGTATATTGTTTTCTTATAGTACTATTTAGAAAAAATGAAAAAATAATTGTGATAAATAGAGACGAGATAATACATATCATTACCGTGATAACGAATATACAATTATCTATAATAGATTATTCAAATTATACAAAAAAAAATTAAATCATATAATTGTTTAAAAGTCGTTACTCATCATCAACATGTACAATATAAAATTTTCAAAACAATTTTATATTAACGCATTCTTTATTATTATTGTCAATATTGCATTCGATTTGTATTTAATCATTTCATTAATTTTTCTGATAACTACATTATTATATGGTAATCATGATATATGAAAATTTGAAAAAGTTGAAATCCATGCGTATATTTAATATCAAGATTATACAAAATTTTCTTTTTCTTGTCAATTTTCTTTTTAATCTAATTATGTATTTAATATGTATAAATATGATTCATTTAATCGATCGATATAACTTTTGTTTTTTGTTCGAATCAGGCAATATGAATGTAAAACCTGTTCGACTATATTGGGGAATGGTGATGACATCGTTAAATAGCGCTGGAGTACACGTTACGCTTCTAAAATTACCTGACAAGCATAAAAGTCTTTTTCTTAAATGTCTTGATGCACCAACTGATGCACCGAGATGGCTAGGTAGCAAGTTTAGCGTTCCTATAGAACCGTCAGAACCGATCATTCAGCATGAAGTAGTACGAAAAGTAGAACAAATTGGTATACAACTTTCTTCAGATTTACAAAATTTATTAAAACATTGTTTAAAAAATGCTTGCGAGAGTGCGATTAGAGAAGAAGAACATCTGAACGATTTAGATAGAGGATGCGGAGACAGTGATGCAGGATCAACGCTTAAGAGACTTGCCATTAGTATGTATTTTCCGTATTGTAAAAATAAATAAAAAAAAAATTATTTTTGTTTCATTATATATTCGATGTTGATAATATCGAATATATAATTTTTTTCGTTTAATCCGAAGCAATTCAGCGATATATTTCGTTTGCATATTTGTATTTATTTATTTATTTATTTTTTAGGAACTTTGACAAATTTAGATAAATTACAGTTTTCACATCCAGCGTCGGCATTTCTTGAATTAGCGCATATAGCCGAAGAAGAAATGGGTGGTGCATCCGGAGCATTATATTGTTTATTTTTTACTAGTATTAGCGCACAATTAATTTCACCTATAAACAAAAAATGGACAGAAATTTGGGCTCGTGCGTTTCGTACCGCTTTAAATAGTTTAACGCAATATGGAAAAGCGATGCCAGGAGATAGATCTATGGTATTATATTATATTATTATAATCTAGGATAGTCATTTATGTCAAATATTGATTTATAATAAATTATAGTTTATAAATTTCTGTTATGCGATAAATTTTTATAATTTTATTGTTTTACATTGAACGACCAGCTGATTTATAATTTATAAAATTCATTCAAAGAATTGAATTCTACATGTAACTTATATTGGCAATATTCATATATAAATTAAATTATAATTTATTTCAATAATATTAATAGATAAGAAAATGATTACAAATATTGATCAAAATACAGAGTTTATTTATCATTATTGTTAATTAAAATTATATATCAAGTTATTAATTAAAATTCCTAATTATATCGTAACTTAACTTTAATACTAACTACGATCTTGAAAATTATAAAATGATAATTATTAGAAATCATAATTTTATTATTCAAATTATAATCAAGAATTAAGAAATCATAATTATATTAATATTCTTTTTTATTATAGATTGATCCACTTACTGCTCTTTGCGATACTCTTGATAAAATGGTAGACAAACCATTAGGAGAAATTTGTGACGCGTTACGTACATCAACTTGGCAAGCGTGTGAAGCCACAAAACATATGAAACCTATGTAAGCGTAGCATAATTTTTTTCGTTTTTTTTTTTTTTTTTTTTTTTATATCATTTCATATTTGTACATAAAAATACATAATTTTTCTACATTTTTCCTTTGATAATTTTGTTCTGTTTGTTCTGTTATTCAATCTAATAGTAGAAAAAAAAATATTTTAATTTTTAAAAAATTATTTTAATTTTAAAATAAAGAAAAATTGTCATATATGTAAAAAAGGTTTTTAAATTATATATAAAAAATGATATATATTATTTTCATATATTGAACAACATATATTTAATCAAAAAATATTATTAAATATTAAAAGAAATATTATGTATTCTTAAACATATATATAGTTTTCAATATTTTGTATGTTATTTTTAGATTAATTTTATTTAATTTGTGTTACAGGGTAGGCCGTGCTAGCTATGTAAAACAAGCTAAATATCTACAAAACGTTGATGCTGGTGCATTTGCAGTTGTAACTTGTGTCAATGCTGTTACAGATATACTTAAAAGTTTCCTCTCTTCCAAATAATAATAATAATAACAATAAAAAATAAAAAAAATATTAATAAAATAAGTAATAAAAAATATGTTAATTTTCAATAGATATATTATAAAAAATTAATATAAAATTAGATATAAATTGTAAAAAAAAATTTCAAACACTTTTAATAATTTTGCGATAAAAAGAATATATTTCTATTTAATATTATATAATAACACAAATATTACATAATATTATATTAAAAAAAAAAATTAATTTCTTCAATTACCATGTTTCATTGTGATAAATAAAAAAAAAAAAAAATTAAAAATAGAAATTTTTAATAAGTTTGTATACTAAAATACTACTATTATTAAATATTATTATTATTAAAATATATTGTATTATAAATATTATTATTAAATATTAAAATACATGTGCTAAATGCAATGTACATATATTTCGAATATACATATATTGCATATATTTTGCAAATATATTGCATATTTTGCATATATTTTACATACATTGCATATATTTGCAATGTATATATATTTCGAATATAAATATACATTGTAAAAATTTTTTTGTAAAAAATTTTTATTCTTAAAAATAAAAAAAATTTTGCATTTTATTCACTATATGAAATATATTATTAAACCGACAACGTAATGTATATATTTTATATTAAAGATTAAAACACAATATAGTTTTGAAAGTGAAAATAAATTACAATAAAAATATTAATTAAAATCTCATATCTTCTGTCTGGGATTAAGCTCTAAATATATATATATAGATTAGGAGAAAAAATAATGGGAACAAAATTTAGAGACAGATTAAAAATTCTTAAAAAAGAATTAGCGCCATCTTCAAATTAGATTGCCTCAAATGAAACATATAAAGCAAATAATGACACGTAATGAGAAAAAGATAGAAATAGAATAGAAATTGATCGTCAATATTTTTCAAGAGATATTTTTGATACTAATTCTCAATTTTAACTTATTCTATTTTATCTTATCTTTTTTATTTGACGAAATATTTTTATAAATAAATATCAAGAGATGGGATTGACGATCTATTCTTACTTTATTTCTATCCTATTCTATTTACTATCCTTTCAATATTTGATTTCAATGTTTTTATTCTATCTCTGTCCTTTTCATCCAATCATTCTTTTTTTTTGTCTATACTTGGTATGAAAATTTATGAGATTCAAGATCTGATATTTTTTTGATTTAACTTCTTTGTAAAATAAAAATTTGTAATGTGAAAATAAAATAAAAAAATATTTATAAAATATATCAAAACATAAAAATATGTATATGTAACGATTATATATATATATATATATATATAATATAACGATTAATACGTCAGATCGAACATTAATGCCATTGAAAAAAAATATATATAGATATAAAAAAAAAAGTTAAAATATGCTATATATATATATATTCTTATTTACTTACATATTTCGATATCTTCTCATTTTGTAATTTATCAACTATAAAATAACAATATATTCTATTTGTTAACTTTCACATTATTCGATAATGTCGAAACAATGAGAGCGTGAAAGAAGAACGGTTTTCGAATGGATTAGTTTGAATTGAAACTTGATCGATGATACATTATCTTTTACTCTTTATAATCATTTCCGATAAATTTTAATATGTTTAAATTTTTTCATTTATATTTTCATATAATTTTTCTCGTTATTACAAGTGTTTCGAATAAGGAGTATAAACTTCCTTCAGGTAATCTGTTTTATCCTTTTTTTTTTCAATTTTAATATATATAATATAATATAATAATATAATATTTGATTATAATAAGGGGAATAAAAAAGCAAAAAAAATTAGAAAAAAATTTATCCTTCTAGATATAATAGCTATGATTTATAATTATTCTAACGGAAAATTTTGATTTCTGAAACAATAGCATGGTTCATATAACAATATATTTTTATTTTTATATGAAAAAAGACAAATAATTCTATTATTTTTTTTGCGAATATAACTTTTCAATATTATTTTTCTTCGTAATTTCCAATTTAAAAAAAACAATTATTCCAGTTAATATTATAATAATAGAATGATTTTTAATGAGATTTTTTAACAAGAAAAAAAGAAATTTTAATCAACTCGTGAACTTATTAATTATGATATTAAAAGCGACAAAAATAAATAAACATAAGTTTCGATTAATTTTTTATTGTTCACGAACTAGATAATTATTATATTCACTATCCACGATATAAAAATTCTAATGCAAATTTATAGATGTAGTCGAAAAATTATGGAGAAAATCAACCGATGAAAATTACTACGGAGGAATTGCAGTGAAGAAGCAACTATTCCAGTTAGTATTAAAATATTCAATATCTCGATAATAATTCATTGTAACAAGAAGAAAAAAAAAGGCGATTAATTAATTAATGTTATTTATTAATTACGAAAGAAAAAAATTTTTTTTAAAAGGATTATTCGATTTCACGATAACGCGTGAAAATTAGATATTTTTGAAAAACTTGGTTTTTTCAAAGAATTAAAAATTAAAGATCAAAATCATAAAAACATATAGAAAAATCAAGATAATTTCTTTTTAAGTTGAAATCTCAAAATCATTTATAGATTATTTATAGATTTTCTTCGTATTTTTATTTCTTCGGATAATACAAAAGAAAAAGAAAAAAATAGGATCGATTTTTGATCAATTAAATTCAAATCGAAAACAATCCTCAATTATACAATTTTGCGCGACATGAATTTTCGAATTGAATTAAATTTGTTTTAGAGATATTTTTATGGAAGATCAAAAAAATAATAAATTACAATTTGGTTACGTTTGCGAAAATCCAATTCAATGGGAACAAAGATTCGAAGAAAAAGATCTTTCGAATAATCGTCATCGTGGAAAGGTGAGATGATAAAAAATATTAAATTTGAAATAATTAGAAGAATAGATATTTATGAATCCGATATATGCAAGATTTTTTTTAAAGTAAATAAATTTAAGTTGATAAATAAATTGATTCTAATGATTATTAATTGTTATTATTCATATTCATTATGACAATGTTTTTTTTTTTTTAACAAAAAAGAAATTAAATTTGTATATAGGTTACATGGGGCGATATGGATGGTAATTATGGCGAACATTATTGGGACATAAATCATAAATAAATGTTGAAGTAATGATAATTAAAATGGAAAATAAAAAATTATTATAAAAAGAAATATTGTTATGTTATGCAAATGATCAATCTATGTATAATGGGATGTCAATATGTGAAATCGAATGCACACTTGACTATTTATTTAATATAATGTTGCAATGATCAAAATGTAAAATGTTACGATGATGTAAAATAAAGTTAGTATTTATGAAATCGATCATTTGAAGAGAGGATTCGAGAAAAAGTATTTGGTATGTTCACATGTAGGACAACCTTTATTATTCAATACAGTACTAATAACATAATACTACGCATTATTACAATATTAATATTATTATATTGGTTGTAATCCGAGTTTTTAATGGTGTTTTTTGCGGCGTGGGTGCGTGCGTGCCGTTGCGTGCATGCAGTACGCGCGCGCACTTGTGATAGTTCGTATACAAATAAATAAATAAATACATATCTGTGTATATATATGTGTATATATATATATATATATATATTTATTTATTTATTTATTTATTTATTTATAATATCCTACACGTAGTGCATTACATGTACACGTATATATGTGTATATATGTATACATATATGATATTTATTATACCTTTGTATTATTACGCAGTATGTGAATTTATCTTATCTTTTATATCTTATAAACTTAATTCGAATAGATATAGTGTATATAGATATATATATAGATATAGATATATATATATATATTTATATATCATCAGGATGGTATAAATAATATTGTATTTCATAAAAGCACTTTTTGTTGCTTATAATATTATCGTTTTCTTTCTTTAAATTATCGCATCGCTTTTTCCTTCCACAAACATATGTATTTTCCCTAACGTTTTCCTTTCGCTCTATCCTTTCTGTTATATCGTTGCGACATCCATGAAGGATATACATATACTTATTTACATTTCTTAAAAAAGTGTTTATGTCTTTTTATTTTTTTTATTTTTTTTTTTTTTTTATTTATTTTTTTATTTTTTTTGGCTTTCTTACTAGCTTCGGAAGGAAAACTTAAGACACATTACTAACTACTTATAGTTAGAGATATATCGAGAATTTGAAACATTAAACATTGTTTCGCGTTGTGTATGATCGCTTTTCGATCGATTGATCGATCGCTAAATCCATCTCCCCTCCCCCCATCCAATCACGGTGATTGAAATTCCTTTCGTGCTTCATTAGTTTTAGTCATTGATTTCTTTTCGTTCTTCTTTCGTTCGTTCATTCGTTCGTTCGTTTTTTTCATTCTTTCGTTCGTTCGTTCGTTCGTTCGTTCGTTCGTTCGTTCGTTCGTTCGTTCGTTCATTCGCTCGCTCCCTCATACGCACGCATATAATAGCAAGTATTTATATATTACAGTTATAGACGTGCCGAATGCGCGAGAGTTGAGCGCTATGCAAGTGTGGTACTTTGGAAGACTATCATATAACTCACAATATTCTTCTAATCCATGATCATTTCTTTCTATTGCATTTTATTTATAATGTTATATTGATCACATGCCAAATTTATCTATTACGCATGAAGCCTTCCCTCTTCTCCTCCAAAAAAAAAAAAACAAGAGAAATAGATCCACAAGATAGGTGAAGAAGAGGATAAAATGAATTGCATACGATTTATCGCAGAATATAATCGTGCAATAGAAAAAGTGATCAAAGAAAGTTTAGAAGAAAATTGTTTGCTACGTATGACATCCTTCCAGGACACTACACTGGCATAGTAATCGAGTACAGAGTGTCCTACAAGGTATGGCATATGCGGCAAATAAAAGATAGATGTAGATACGGGAAAACGAAACGAGAAATATCTCTAATTCTAATAGTTGAATATTTGCTTGTTCCAATCATTGTTTTTCATTTTTAAATTCCTATTTTTATTTTTTTCCATTCGAATAACTCGGCAGAGAATATACAATTTACAGTTTCTCCCCCTCCCTCTCCTCCCTCTTTTTCTTTTTCTTCCATCGTTTAATTGTTGTATCGTTCTTAAAAAATATTCGATATTTATCCAATATTAATATTTTACAAACTTTAAACCATAATGTCCAGTCACATCGAGTATCCGTTATGCGTTTATACAAGTTATGCTGGTATTTTATATTTTGGGTAGATATCAAACATTTTAATTCTCAGATATATCATACCTTATGAAACACATTTATGCTTTCAATCTATTCGCTTCAATAAATATCCTTGTACGTATATGTACTTTTGCGATCGTTTTCTTCATTCTTTTTCCCTTCTTTTTTTTTATTTATTTATTTATTTATTTATTTTTGTATTTCTTTTTTGTTTGGCTGGTCCACTAACATTCCTAGAAAAAATACTCTCTGCAGTCCTCTATGTTATAAACTAAGATTTTTTTTTTTGTTCCTCTATTTTCCGTTTGATTTCCCATCATTCATTTAACTTTTCGTCAAATTATTTTTTTTACTCTCTCCTCGATCGTTCGATATTTTCTTCTTCGTTTACGAACATGTTCGCTTTTTTCGCATCTTTGTTCTATAGAAAACCTTATAGGTTCGCAACATTTTCGAACGAATATAATTGCGAATTTGAATCGCCACGTTCCGCAGGATCGGTCGCGTATGCATTATCTATCTCTCGCTACACGCATACGAAGCATATCGTATGCATATCGATCAGTCGCGATTTAATCGTAATCGAGATAGTACATGGTAAAGATAATTAATCAAATCTACTATCGTGTGGTCATTCGTGATTTGTTTCTCGAGAAAGCGAAGGAAGAAAAGTTTACGATTGATGTTTGGTTTCGTTACCGATAAGATTAAAAATTATCTAGTATCACAAATATCATTATAGATCGCGAAAATGCCCGTGGATAAACGAATCGAGTCGATTGGAAGGAAAAAATTTGATTCATCGAATTAACGATGCCATTACGTACATTTGTGCGCATATATCCGTGATCGGATGAAAACATGATTAAAAACGTGATTTCGCGACATATTCGTTCTTTTTTTTTTTTCTTTTTTCTAACTAATTAATTATGCTTAAACTTTTGCAGATCGATAGATAGACTGTCGATAAATCCATTTCGACATATCGAGAAGTTTCGATATTCGATCACGAATATTTTATAAACTGCTTAGTTTAAGGCGTTTATATCGTGAAAAAAAAAATAATTTTTTTATAACCTTAAAATTAGATTCGTAGCTTATCATTTCCAATAAAAACGACATATGTATACATATTTCATTTCAATTTTCCCCATCTGTCGAATACTCATGTTGAATAAATGCAAATTTTATTCGAAAACATATGTTTAGGCTTTAAGCATTATTCCATATAATGGCTCACAGTTAAAGTTTATCTTATTATTTATCGACAAAATATCGTATAAATAATTTGGGAATATTATAGCAAGATAATTAAACTTCTATTAAATTTGATTATATAAACAATAATAATTAAAATGTATTCGCTTAATAATATATTTAGATGAAGATTTTAATTATCTCGTTTCACATGTATCTTGGATTAACGCTTTGATCGTAGACTATTGTAAAACAAAATATTCTTCACGATTAATTTTTTCATTAAAAATGACCGAGAAGAGTTGAACGAGAGGAATGAATTCACCTGAAATAAATTATCAAAGTATCTGCTTTCCACTAGATTTATGTACAACTATTGTTATTATTAGAAATATTCTCAAAAATTGGAAAATAGTTAAAAAAAAAAAAAGAAATCTGATTTTACTGAGTTTTTTATGATTTGTTCAATAGCGAAATATCGAGAGAATGTAACGATTTACAATTGTAACAAACAAACGAATCGTAATAAATCATATATAAGATCATGATAAGATAAAGTATATTATCTTATCATGAAATCAAAAAAAAAAGGAATAATCAACGTATCATATAATATTATACATATATGAATATATTTATATGATTTGCGATAAAAGCTCAATGTAATACGCTACTTTCCCCGTTAGTCTTTTCTTCTTAAGTATGTTTATTTTGTTATTTTCCCTTTAACATGGAACAAATTTGGAACTTTGTTTGATTTCCCAACAGTTTTGATATCTGTCCTGTATAACTTCTTAAAATCATTTTACACACAGAAACCTTAATATTATTAATATTATTATTAGTAGAGTAATAATAGTAATAGTAATAGTACTTGTACTAGTAATAGTAGTAGTAGTAGTAGTAGTAGTAGTAGTAGTAGTAGTAGTAGTAGTAG